ATTGTATTTCCTTCCAGCATCTGTCAAGGTCGGTAATCTTTGTACCGCTGGGATTAATTATATTCGAATGTGGAATATGTTACCAAGTCTATATTGTGAATATTAGTGTATGAAAATTAGGAATGGACCAAAAGTATTTAAGGACATGGATTTGAACCAAGGAACATATCTCGTTTCTGACGAAGGGGCCGTACCGCGGAACGTAGGATTTTACTATGACTACGTAAGTATTTATTTATTTGCATGTTAATATAACACCGGGCTTAAACTGTTCACTCCTATGGCGTTCATTCTAAACTGTTCACACCTATATGCTAATATATGAATAAGGAAGGCAATTCCATGTACATTTTTATAAGGAAACTACTATATCTTTTTGTGTTTCTTGCCAGTTTTCTCGAGTTTCGGTATTTGTGTTTTTATTTCAAGTGATTAATATTTGTCAACCTCGCTTTAAAACACAATCGCACTGTTCTCAAATTATTTCGCATGCAACACTGGGAGTAATGTTCAATAAAGGCATCTGATGTCTGATGGTGAAAATCATGCATGATGGTTGATGTGGGTCAGGTGGTTGTCAGATGGTGTGTGATGGTGTCAGATGGTTGCAGATGGTTCTCAGATGGTGTATGATGGTGTATGATGGTCGAAATGTGTCAGACGGTTGTCACATGGCGTATGGAGATGTATGTTGCTGGATATGAAGTGTGTCAGATGGTTGTCAAATGTTTGTCAGATGGTATATCATGGTGTAGGGTGGTTTTACAAGGAAGGGTTGTCAGATGGTGAAGATGGTACAGATGGTGTATGATTGTCGAAGCGTGTCTGAAGGCTGTCAGATAGTGGAAGTGTGTCAGATGGTTGTCAACTAGTTGTCAGATGGATGCCAGATGGTGCACAGTATGATGGTTGATGATGATGATGTATGATAGTGTATGATGGTCTAAGTGTGTATGTCAGATGGTGTGTGATGGTGTATGGTGGTTCTACAGGGAAGGGTTGTCAGATGGTGAAGATAGTGGAGATGGTGTATGGTGGTCGAAGCGTGTGAAGTGGTTATCAGATTGTGTATGAAGGTGTATGATAGTGGAAGTGTGTTAGATGGTTGTCAGATTGTGTATGATGGTCGAAATTTGTCAGATGGTGTATGGTGGTGAATGATGGTCGAAATGTGTCGGGTGGTTGTCTGATGGTGTATGGTGGTCATACAGGGAATAGTCAGATGGTGAAGATGGTACAGATGGATGTTGTAACTGTTATAATTTATAGCTTGCTGTCCGGCAATGCATAAAATTTCCAAAAAAATATAAGCATGTATACATACTAGAAATACATGCATGCATTAACCCCTCGCCAAAATTGCCATACATTAAACATGAAGTATTCAGAAATGACCAGCACTGAACGCAGGCTCGCGTTCAAGTGTTGCCATGACAGCACGATATTCTTCAATTTTTATTTTCATATATTTTGTACAAAACTGCAAAATAGTTGAAAGATTCGTACATTTAAATATACAAAAATAAATTTCCGAAATACATACTGTAGGTATATTATTTTGTATTTTGTGAGCTTTGATTTAATGTAAAATTTAACTTGAAACGCTTCGTAAAATGTTCCGAAATGTTCATTCAAGTAAACCAACATTTTGCCGATAAACTGTTTTTACTTAACAGAACATGATAAGTTTAAAAAATAACATTGTTAGGTAATTCCAGTTCAGTCTTCAAATCAATTTGTTCGCCTTTACATTTTAAGATTTTTTCTCAAATTAAACGGTAATTTATGAAACTTAGAGCTTCGTTGAAAAGGAAAACATTTCATGTTTTTTATTACGTTAAAAGTTAAAGCAACAAAATTCGTAAACATTAAATATTCAAAGCAAACTTGCCGTATATTTCACGATTTCCCATAGTAAATCAATTCTTTTCATTTCTTCAAACAAAATCGCTTCAAGCTTGTTGTATATGAAACGATTTTCCAAATATATATATGTCTTTTAAAATTGAAATCTTGCTTGCCATATTTTTGAGATAAGTGAGGATGACCACCCACTCAAGATCGTCGCTCGTTGGTCAGCGCCCGCGGTGATTGATGAACTTTAGACTTCGCTAATGCTTTCGTTTCCCCGGGTGTAAATAGCCGGGGGGAATTAGTACCCTCGCACGGCGCTTCGCGCCGTCGGATCGGCGATGAAGAATAAAATACACATTTGTTTACATTATATATATATATATATATATATATATATATATATATATATATATATATATATATATATATATATATATATATATATATATATATATATATATATATATATATATATAATAATATTTAATATTTATATTGCGCAAATTAACATGTTATAGTATATGATCAAATGCGCATCACAAAACATAATTACACTAAAATTATTCTATGCTGAATGGTTACTAACTAAAAATATAAAGAAGATTATATAGATTATATATATATATATATATATATATATATATATATATATATATATATATATATATATATATATATATATATATATATATATATATATATATGTTCAAAGATTTGTAATCCAAGCATATTATAATTAATTAAAGTTCTCCGGATTAAAATATACTTTTATTGAGCTTTCGACTTGGTACTTCGAGCCTTCTTCAGAATACTGAGATTAAAATTACATATGTACATTACTTAAAGGACATTGGCAACGAAAATTTTTATTGGCTATTTCAATCCTACTTGACAACCGAACTATGAAAATATTATCATTTCCTTCTTGAACATTTTAGTCTACGAGTAAAATGCATGCAAACTTTGTGTTTCGGCCAGTTTCGCCGCCATCTTGGAAAATATTTTTGAAAAATTATCTCGAAGGTCAATGAACTTTGTGACGTCATTGGCTGGGTAGCACCAAAACTACAAGAGAGAATTCTATTGCGTTCATGTTATGTTAGCTTAAAATATGTCGTTTTGAGCGTTATACTGGCCAACACTCTTCGCAATCAAACAAGAGAAGTCTACACTATCAGATAAAAACATATCGAGCGACTGGGAAAGCAAGAAATGGCGCAATTTACAATGCAGGTAATTGATCATAAAATATTGCATTAGTATTTGCCTTTTTACACTCGAATTTCTGCGCTTATTTAACACGGAGTAGGATATATAGTATGAGAAATAGTGTTACAAACAAGTTACATACTTGGTAAAACTTTTCTGCCTTTTGTTTTGGCTCAAAATGCACTACGCGTGGTAATACACGGTATTGTTTATAGTCATGAGATTGTGTTTACCCAACCAATGACGTCAGATAATATATTTTGTGGCATAAATTAGCATACGCGCTTATTTTCAAAATGGCGGACAACTGTTCAAATTTTCTCAAATTCAATCAAATTTTCTCAGCAACTAAACGCGACAAACCAGCCAAAATATGAAATTAAATATTCCGTAAGTATACCTAATAGATATAAGTAATAAAAATTTTGGTTGCCAATATCCTTTAATATTAATTACATGTGTCAAGTCACGCACGCACGGAGCTTTTGCAACATGATGTTCACATGGACTATTTATTTCTCTAAAATCCCGACAAACAAGCAAAATAATTTAAAATAATTTATAATTTATCTGTCAAAACCAAATAACGAGAGAAAACAAGTATAAATCCTCACGTTTCGACAGTCTATCTGAGCAGAACTGTGTCTAGACGTATTGCTTGTCGATAAGTGTCTGTCTACATAATCCGCTGTATATTATAAACATTATAATTTCGTGATAACAAAACGCCTCATAATATTTTTTACACCAAATTTGAGAGCAACATTTGCTCATACATTTGTCTAAATTTGAAGGAAATCGGAGTTTTATCGGAAAGGGAAAATTGATTTTCAAAAAATGTACCAAACTTAAAATTTTTTAACTTAAGGTTTTTCTTGTGATTTTCTCGATATTATAGTCAGTATAATTCCGCGGTAACAAAAAGCCCCAAAATAATTTCTACATCAGCTTTTAGAGCAATAATTTCTCTTTAAATTCCCTAAATTTCAAGGAAATTGGAATTTTCTCGGATACGGAAAATTAATTTTCAAAAAGTGTACCAATTTAGAATTTTTTGGATCACAAAATAAGGCGATTTTTACACACTTGCCTTGACTTTGAAACATCATTTAAAAGATTGCAAAATAGACTATCGTTGTTTATAAACATCTTATATACACGTTTAAAAACCGAAAGTGAGGTTTCCTGAAGACGCGAACTGAGCAAAACGGAGTTTTCGAGAGGCTATGACTCACTACGTTTTTAGCTAATTTCACGAATCTTGGGTACATGTCAGGTTTTGATAATTTTTCGGCGTTTAAAATAATATTTCAGAAAACAAACCCCATGCATCACGTTTCTGAGTATACATTAGTGTATCACTGGACAAAATAAGAAAACATTTCATTTTTCATCATGTGCCACCTGTTGCTCGGTGATAGTGGAGATTCCCTCTTAAATCCTTTTTGTGTTTTGGCGCCATTTCGGCGTCATGCAGCAAATGCCGAGTAACTCGGTTCCATATAAACAGAGAGGTGAGAGAGCCCCACCTGGGCGAGTAACTCGCCTTGCCGCGTAATTCGCCTCCATATAAACAGGCCTATAAGTAACGAATTTGGTCGAGAAAAGCTCCATCCTAAACCACTGTATACCATGTATCCAAAAATTGAGTTCGACTTTTTAAATTCGACGTTGGTACTGTATATTAACCTTCAAATTATATTAAGAACTTCATGCGTCATATGCATACTGTAGGTTCTGCATAAGCGCGACGTTTCGAACACACTCAGAAGACGTCATCTTTAAACTATGCTAAGCCATTAAGATCTTACTCACGAAATCGTCAGTACATAAATCGTGAACTTCTTGAGGGTTCATAATTGTTTGTCGAGGTGATAATTCCAGGAAACGGATCCAAACTGGCCCTCTTGATGATATTTTCATCTGAATCTAAATTGAATCTTACCTGATTTAAATGCGATAAATCCATTAAAAATGTACAGAATCATAAAGAAAACCAAGAATGCCAGTAAAGCCGTCCATGGTTTTGACATAATTTTGAAACTACACTGAAACCAAATGAAAGGATGTAACGAGACCACAGTTTTATATATTTTATATACGCTCTGTAAGATCTTGAAGCATTTTATTTATTATACTCTTAGACTGTCTGTAAGAGTAGAAGTTCCGATGTGTATCACGGAGAAGTATTTAACGATTAAAGTAATATGAAACGGTCAAGTCGAGCATTACTTTCCTTTTAGTCTAGGACCTGTATATGAGTTTGTATGCGCTTCATTTAGCACAGGTAATCTCAACTGTTTTAGGGTAAAATGACCATGGCGGCCAACATGGCATATGTGCGAAAACCTGAATCCGGGACGAAAGTCCTGAAAATGACCCCGCCCTGAAATGGCAGTGCCGACATAGCTCTAACTTCCGAAAAGCAAAAGCGACAGCCTTTCTGAAGTGCTTATAGTGTTTAGAAGGGTTGCTTTTAGGGGTGGTCATTGGAAGGAAAAATTTGTGTAAGTATAATATTTTACAAGAAAATGACTATGCATCACCCCAGGTAAATTGCTAATTATGCATAAAATAACTAATACACATGCCAGAAATTAGATATCCTTATTTCCTAAAAAATATTATCACGGGATGAAAAACTATGCTTAATTTAATATAATTATTGGTGCCGACGGCAGCACACTATTCTTGACATGAAGTATTGGGTTTACTTTGTGTCAGTCTCTTTGGCCGAGTTATGTATGGTCGCAAGTCGAGATTTCGGATATTTGTTTTGTCACGTAGTCAATTTTATGATGTAGAATCAAGCAACCTCGTTCCCAGGCTCTTTCCACATGAGGAAAGAGCCTGGGAACGAGGTTGCCTTGCAGGCTATCTTTCCTCCAGAGAGCCTGCTCGCAGGCTAGCATTTATCGGGCAGAGAATCGGCGAGCCATTAAAATGGCGGCATTCGCCGGCATATTAGACGAAATATCGAAGGACACAATATCGAAGATGAAATACACTGCCTTGCAAAATTCCTGAGTACTAGTCTGAAAACACGCATTCAACAGCTCATAACTCAAGAAGAACTTGAAAAACCCGGGTAACCGTTTAAATGTCTTATATGTCGTTTTTTGCAAGCTTTCAAATGATGCAAGTCATTTGTGTTAGAAATGTATTTGAAATTTCACATTTTTTAACTGTAATAGAGTTTAATACGACATTCGAAGAAAAACGTGTCGGCAGAAGCTCACAAGAAATTTTAACGCAGCCAACATACAGAAACGTACTTACTAGTCTTCAGGGCACAATATGAAGGCAAAATGGAATTGTCCCACGATATGGTAAGTTTTTTCCTTCTATCTGCCCGACAACAGGCATATTAGTTATTTTATGCATAATTAGCAATTTACCTGGGGTGATGCATGGTCATTTTCTTCTAAAATATTATATTTACACAAATTTTTCCTGCCAATAACCACCCCTAAAAGTAACCCTTCTAAACACTATAAGCACTTCAGAAAGGCTGTCGCTTTTCCTTTTTGGAAGTTAGAGATATGTCGGCACTGCCGTTTCAGGGCGGGGTCATTTTCAGGAACATTTACTGGAAATTGACAGCCCAATTGGGTGTTGGGGCATCAATTTCCCGTTTGTAATACAAAATGACTGAAAATTGCAAATTTCGCAGGGCTATATTATCCGCATTTTCAACATTTTGAAGTGTTTGATTTTACAACTCTATATTATAACAGGTTTTTGACACCAGTTTTGAAATATATTAAACAATTATTAAACGGTCTTGTGGTATTTAACAATAAAATACAAAACAATAGATACTCCGATAATTGAAAGCATTCTGAAAATTTATTTCGACGTTCGAAATAAATTTTCGAAATAAATTTTCAAAATGCTTTCAATTTTCGGAGTAACTATTGTTTTGTATTTTATCAAAATGCTTAATGATTCCCGTAATTTCTAGTGTTTAACAATGATTCAAGAAAACAAATTAACTCTAGTCATGTATTCAGCAAAGCAGTGAATAAAGATTAGTCCGTGTGTTGTGACCCGATATCGTTCACTTTCATTAAGCATGTCTTAGGGCCTGTTCATATGGGCAAAAGTTATCCCGGTTAACGAGAAAACTTTTCGACTAGCCAAATACTTTTGTTCTGTTCATATGGAGAAACTTTATCCCGCTTACCGGGTAAAGTTTTCGGCTGTGACGTGGCACTGAACACCAATTGAATTGAAAAGTTGCTGACACGACAGAAAGTTTCCCGCTAAGCGGGAAAGTTGTGTTCATATGGGAAAAACATTATCCCGGTCACCGAGATCTCGCCGGTCAACAAGCAAGATCTCGGTACACGGGAAAACTTTTTTCTCATATGAACGCAGTGTAACTTTTCATATTATTTTCATACCAAGGCGAGATCTCGCTTGTAAAATTGTCGAAAAGTTTTCTCGCTAACCGGGATAACTTTTGCCCATATGAACAGGCCCTTAGATCTGAAATATTTTGGAGGGAACTAACACTTTCAAGCACGCTGAGTTCAAATCCGAAAAGTTCTCACTCCGTAGACCCGCAGTTTTCTCGCAAAATGCTATTTTATCTTCACTAATTTCAAGACAAATTTTTCATTGTTTAACGACACGGATCGATGTCGATACACGATTATGTCACTCAAAAGGAACAATTTCTATTAACCAGTCTTCCTTTAACAAAAGATCGGTTTTGCTCGAATCATTTTGAGTTATGCAATCTTATGCGTGTTGGACGTAAACAACATATATTGTCTACAACTTTTAGAAAGTCCAGATAACGCTTTCTAAAATCCTCAGTTCTAGAGATATCTCTATAAAATCATAAGGACATTAATGCGAAGTCTTTCGGCTTGATGTCGCTGGCCTGAAAAAGAACTCTTTTATTAACGCGATCAAGGTATTTAAAACAAAAGTAATACGAAGTCAACGTAACGGCAAAGACAGCGCTAAAATGAAATATTGTCGAATGGTTGCTGGTAGAACACTTACGGCAGGATCAATCTTAAATAACCTTAAACTATAAGAATAAATGTTCACATCAAAGACAAAGATCAGTCCCAAAGTACACCATATGCTCTGTAAACTTACTTACTATGAAGTGGAGAAATGCGTGCATGAGCTGTTTATTTGGTGATTTCAACGTATATGGAAGCCCTCTTTCCAATAACTGATTCGCTTACCGCACAGTACTCAACACCAACTGATGTAGTAGTTCAAATGCAATGATAAGTTATCTCTTGAATTACATCTCAGAAACTGTGTTGGAAATTTAAATGCTGATTCATTACATCAGTAGATTACCGTTTTAGGGACCATTCAATTTTTAAGACCGGGGGTGCATGGGCTGACAAAATTTAATTTACAACTAAACAAAATGTCCTGCCCAAACCTCCGCATTACAAAAATATTCAATGACCCCCTTCACATGAATTCTAAAAAATAGTAAGGATACTACTGAGGATATTAGGAGGAATTATCTGTACCTTCTCAAAATTGTAGAGAAGATATGTTGTTTCAGCCAGGCGCATACTGGAGCTATCAGCTGAGCGTCACTCGTGACTGTTGGCGTAAGCAAGTACCCCCAGTGTGCGGTGGCGTTTTGAGCGATTTTAGCCACGCGTCATAGAATAAAGATCCATATAGAAGGGCCACTTACGTCGGAAGTTTTGAAGTTTCTGTCCTCGCACATGTCGCATTAAGCATGTTGGCCGCCATTTTCCTAGCCAGTCAATGACATTTTCTGGCCAATAAACACGCTGTACTGGCTGGCTGCTCCGCCTTCTGGCCAGTAAACTGCATATTTTTGCATAAAAAAACGCGGACACGTTGCCCCGCTTAGTGGCTCTTCTGTTACTGATCTTTATTCTGTGCACGCGTGCCATCGGCACCGAATATTCAACATGTTGAATAATTTCAGTCACAAATGAACATTTCCCCCAAGTGTGCGCGCTCGAAAAGCTATCACCTTTCATTGTAGATCGAGTAGGCATGCGTAATAAAACATAAGACAAAAGGAAAATAATTAATGAGGAATATTCATATGTCGCTACTCAAGTATCACTTTCCTCATTAATTATTTTCCTTTTGTCTTATGTTTTATTACGCATGCCTACTCGATCTACAATGAAAGGTGATAGCTTTTCGAGCGCGCACACTTGGGGGAAATGTTCATTCGTGACTGAAATTATTCAACATGTTGAATATTCGGTGCCGATGGCACGCGTGGGTGAAATCGCTCAAAACGCCACCGCACACTTGGGGAACTTGCTTACGCCATCAGTCACGAGTGACGCTCAGCTCAGCTGATATCTCCAGTGTGCGCCGGACTTTACGTCCAACACGCATATAAGATTCAGTGTCGTAGCCAGAGCGATAATTGGGGGGCACATATTCATATATTCGTGTTCTGCTTTATTAATTTCTTTTGAAATCAATTGTTTTTATGGTATGTGAACAAGAATATATGAATATGTGCTCCCCCCCTCCAATTAGGGAACTTTAGATTCGCTACGGCTACGAAATTTGGTACGACTACGAGATTTTTTCCGTTAAATATCTGCTATTACAGACTTTCTATCGTCTTTTCTTTTGCATACCACATCTTTATAGCAACAGTTGCGCCAAACCACGTACCATTATAAGTTTTTAGTAGCTGATATTTAATGGAAAAAATCTCGTAGTCGTACTAGATTTCGTAGCCGTAGCGAATCTAAAGTTCCCTATTATCATTCTGGCTACGGCACTGATAAGATTGCATAACTCAAAATGATTCGAGCAAAACCGGTCATTTGTTAAAAGGAAGAATGGTTAATAGAAATTGGTCCTTTTGAGTGACGTAATCGTGTATCGTCATCAATCCGTGTCGTTGAACAGTGAAAAAATTTGCTGTGAAATTAGTGAAGATAAAATAGCAGTTTGTGAGAAAACTGCGGGTCTACAGACTGGGAACTTTTCGGATTTGAACTCAGCGTGTTCGAAAGTGTTAGTTTCCGCGTAAAAATATTTCAGATCAATAAAAATCGTTTTCTAGGCACTTTTCGAGGTCACAACATACTAGCCTGATCACAGACCTACATTTCGCCCGCCCTAAAATTCGCGGGTCGACGAAGGGCTGATGAAAATGTTGTCAAAAGTGCATGTAAGTCGACCGCCTGGCGGTCGACAAAGCTGATTGGCTAATTCACAGGGAAATAGGTTGTGATTGGTTGATCGTTGACATGAAAAGATCAGAATATTTTCAACGGTAAATCAACGCATATAAATACGCATACACTATACAGTGTAATACTAGTTCTAAATATTTTGTGATGTCGAACGACAACTAGTCTATGATCAGTATATCTACCGTCTAAAATTAAAACTAGAGCCAGTAGAGGGGAGTAGAGCAGTACGTGTCAAATACATCAGCGTTGTATCTTTCCGTTGTAATAAACATTACAATATATAATTTTTACACAATCCGACGTTTTGTGATTATAAATCATAATAAAACTCGGATACAAATATGTGCGCATTCATGATTCACATTTTGATAACATAGCACATACAAAATATTTTATTTAGATTTTATCATTGTATGGCCATTTCAAAATGTATAAATTGTAAGAGTTGGGATGCAATCAATGGCCACATTGGCCATTGCCAAATTTGCGTATAGGCAGATTTTATCGCATTTATAGAATTTGTTGAAAGTATTATTACTAGCTGTAACTGTTTGTTTACAAAGGTTTAAGTATATAAAAGCGACAGACTCCATGGGGTTCCCAATATTTTAAACATTTATTCGAATATCTGTACTTATCGACTCTTACTAGTTTACAAACTTGCAATAAAGTGAAATCGACAACTTTCATTGTATATTTAGGTATTACATGTATGTGTCAATCATCGTTGTTAATTATTGCAAAATCCAAAGTGGGCGGAAGGCGCTTTTGACAACATTTTCATCAGACCAATGTTTCGCCCTTTCCGTCGACGAATTTTAGGGGGGTGAAACGTATAGGTCTGTTATCAGGCTACAACATACGGACTAATTTAGCGTTTGAAGTTTACGTTTGGTGTATAAATTTCATTCTTTAAACGACTACAAACCCTCGTAGCAGTTCAAGCATAAAATTTATATACGCCAAACTTCAACTTCAAATGCCAGATCTTAATTTACTGCTTTGGTATAAAAGCTGTTATAATAGTATTAATAGTTAACAAATATAAAACATTTTCCGTGTTGATATACAGTTATATCAACACGAGTGGAAATTGGGAAAACGAGAAATTGTGTGGAAACACGACGCCCGAAGGGCAATCTCGTTCCCAGAGTATGCCTGTTCGCGGGATATGTAGTTGCATGACCCTGGGGAAATCGAATCGAAATCGTTATTTGATTGGCTGCCGCGATTACCAATGTTGCCGACACATTAATGCGTATTTTTTGCGAGAATTACGCGGACATACGCGAAGAGAGAATTATCAATGTTTATCAGATTTGGAATGCGAAATCAAACAATATAAATCGAAAGATATAGGCCAATAATATTAATCGTATGAACAAGTATTGGAACGTTGGGTATATTCTTACAAAATGGCATAGTATTTATGAATGACTTTTTGCCGATCTACAGTATGAGTATATTGACCGTATTTGTACGTGGAAACGACGGCGTACAAGTTTCGTATTTATTCCATGATAACCATGCATGAAAGAATTGGCTAAATGAAATCATCGCACGTTAAGTTGTCGTTGTTTTGTAAGTTAACTTGATATATTGTTGCCAGGACTTTGGAGTGACAGCTTTTGCTTGTGTTAAAGCTTTAAACAATACAGTACATTAGATCTTCCATTTCATGTTCACTTGACATACAGTATTATGCGCTAAGCCTAGTAAGAGGTCACTTAATTAACTACACATCAATTATGGTCAACATGTCAGTTGTAGCCCGTGATCTTTGTGCTTTTGTAAAAGGAGTTATCTATAAATTTAAGATTCGAGGTGTTTTTGTAGATCTGTATAAATCATAGAATAATTAATTTACATCACCAGAAATTTGGGACAAGATGGCGATGGACATGCGCACTTTGCCTTAATATGGCGACCGAAAATTACTATAAACAGTATAGGAGTTGACAAAAATATAAAATTTTAACCTACTTTGTTTAAATATTTCATTACTGTGGACTTCGATAATAACAACGACATGAACAAGCAACATTTCTACATAAAGTTTGTTAGCATTTGTTTACGTCTAGGTGGTTCCCGAGATACACGTACTTCCACTGGCAATTCCATCGAGTTGATAGTGTAATTTTATAGTAAATCGCTTATACACCAGATAGATATCCGTCGAATAATGTAGTATCCTTTCGGGCGATTCAAGCTGTGGACTTCGCGATGTAATTGTCGATGTTCAAACAGTTAATTTATCCAAAAACAATGCTAGTTAATCCACGACAAACCGGTTCCAAAATCGTTTAAAAGTTGGCCTTTTTACGGTTCTTGTATGTCGCCATTAGGCCATCTTAATATCCAAAAATAGGTACGCAGTGCGTACATGTTGCATGCCCTCTCCTCCACAGAGGCTTTTGCCTTTCCACCCGCGCTACTTCGCCCAGTGGCTCCGCCCGTGTTCCAAGATCCGCCATGTAACGTGTAGTGAAATGTATCTCATCGTAATAAATCATAAGATAACTAACGCACAAAATAGATACTGGACCAGAAGTGTCACTCAGACAATATCTTGTCCGAAATTTTACGAGTGCTGACGTGAAAATACACCATCATATGACGCCATCCTGCGTGTCCACTCCAGGATGGTGTCAAAGCACGTAAAAAATTTCGGATGTTTTCCCAAGCCAAAACACATAGGAGAATCTCTTCTGATCTGGCATCTATTCTGTGACTAAAGCCTCAGCGGAGGAGAGTGCATCCAGGCCGACTTCCATTCAGTGCAAAATATTGGGAGATCCAAACTTTTTGCAATCACTTTCTTTTGAAACGTGTTGAGTCAACCTGATCTGTTGCGTTTGATTAGTTGTATTTCAAAAGAAAGTGATCGCAAAATATTTTGATCGGCCGACATTTTGCACTGAGTGGAAATCCGCCTTTATGGTCCGCTTATAAATTTTTGTACAACTGGCCTGAAACTTAAAGACCATGTAAAGTCCGTTCTGCGCATATGTTCTGTGCAGGCTTACATTCCAATGGTCGGGACCCGACCGTTGGAATGTTATTAATATTTCGTATCTTTTGAATTTTCTTGAATTGAATCTCTAGTCTGTATTCATTTACAAGCTAGCGAACCAGAAGAGTGTTAAGAATTCAGTATTATATATATCTAATCATATTTTACAACTGTAGCACTGAGTTCAAAATGTAAACAAAGCGTTTGTTTACATTACGGACTTTACATGGTCTTTAACATATTGATTCAATAAGTTTAATATCAATATATTTATTGAAAAATAGCTATTATGTCAAAATAACAAAACTTTTTCAAACTTTTCGCGACTGTTCATCTGTAGTTGCAAGGGACGGTAATAACAAGGTCAACAGGTCAAGGTTTTGTCACCGCCTTGGTATGATCGACTATTCGAAGTAAACAATGTTTATATTTTACTACAAATTTAGGTTTATTGTGGCTTACTGGCAGTATAAAAACCCGTGGAAACCGTGAATTACTATAATAGATTGCAAATAATTAAACTATGATCTCGACTATGATTGAAATTATCGAAGTAGAATATTTCGTTCAATAATGTATTATTAAATTTCAGTAGACAATAGTTATAGTTCATGTTATTTACAGAATGTGATGTAATTTTGAAATTTGAAGTTTTACACACAATATAATCAGTGCTAGCGCAATGGCTTCGTTTCAATTTGAGCATATAAAAAATTAGAATTTTGATAGCGTGGCCTTTCACAAACATATTGCCCGATATAAATTGATAAATATATATCAGTGCGAGCACAACGGCAGCAAAATACTAACAAATAACAGAATATAAGCTAAATTAAAAACAGCAAAGCTTTACCTACCTCGATCTATTTTTCTAAGGCGCTAAATTACGTAAATTTTCGACGAAAGCCGTGAACAAAAGCGTGCATATTTATTGTTTCAACTTTCACATCATGAAAATGCTCGTCGGAAAAACTCGGACCAACTCGGTATTTGCCGTATTTTACTAATCTATCACGTGATTTACCACCGCCGGTACAACGCACAACACGACACGAAATTTAGAGCTATATGAAAGTTGCATGCCCATATATGGGCATGCAACAAAAACGACAAGTTTTAATACAAATTTGAGCTGTTTCGAACAGCCATGTTTTTTGTTTATTTTGCAAGACTAGATCCAGGCTCTCACACGTAAAAACCATAGATATAGGAGAACTAGATTGCTGACTCGGCTGAAGAGGCGCGCCAAATTTGAAAATCCAAGATGGCGGCTCAACCGGTCAAAAATGATAGAGCGAGATAGGGAAAAACCATGTTTTTTGCATTTTACGTCGTCCTACTGTTTCCGATTCCGTTGAACCACCTTTTTTTTGGAAGAACTAACTGGTGTGAAAGTTTTGGATGTATATTTGTTATAATTAGTACGATTTACAGTTTAAAATTCAACCGGGCAAGAATTGGCAAAGACGAAAATGGCGCGAAACTGCCAGCCTGGTTTCTTATCCGGTGTATTCCTTAAGTCTTTTACCAGTTTTTCTAAAGTAATGTAACATATATATGATTATTCCAAAAGTTACTATTATTTATTTTGTTCTTTCATTGTTATTTCGACGAAAATACAGTATTTTCAACTGAAAATTCTAGGGCATTCTATTCTAAAAAATCTGTTTTTCTATCGAAAAGAATGCCTTGAATCTCGGCCTGTTTTGTGTGCTGAGTGTAACTGCAAGACCAAACATGGGGATTTAAAAGACGGTATTCGCTTGTCCTTCCATAAGTAAGTCTATGAAACACACATCGTATATTTGTACACTATAACATACTTCATATAAACAGAATAGTACAAGACTATTAAAATAAGACAGCTTTTAAAAGCATAAAAACAATTTGTTTTGTAAATACAATAATGATACCAAATGTAGTTTTGAGCTTGTTGCCTACAATATAAAACTGTTTACAGTTTTAGTAAAAAAACATTAGACCAAAAGAACTTCTTGTTTTGGTGTCTGTGTTAGGAGTCTATATGTATATATATATGCATGATGACAATAACTTTCATAGAGGTCCTTGCCTGTTGAAGGTCAAAAAAATTGAGTTTTGTTCACATCAGTGAACCAAAAATACATATTTCCCTTCACACTATTTAGATTTCCTATAACCAATCCCAGCCGGCTAAAAAGTTGGATAACAGCAATGAAATGGGCAGACTGGATGCCAACCAAATATTCAGTATTCTGTGAGAAACAACTTACTCCCATTAAGTCGCATTGTGCCCTGATGTGCCCTACTTTATTATTTTATTTTGTCTAACAGCATTACGGCAGATGATTTTACTTGTTCTAGGGGAGAGTGTTGGTACTTAATGGGTTAACTGGCCATGGGTCTGGTTAACCCATTGAGTTGCACCCTACTTTATTATTTTACTCTAACACCAGATAATTTTACTTGTCAAGGGGAGAGTACTGCTGGGTTAGTAAGGGAAAGCAATTAATAAAAGGCCAATCCAAGAAATAGCTGAAAGAATATGCTATTTTTTATTTATATCAATGATGAATCAATCAGGTTTCTTGGAGAGAACTAGATATACTGTGAAGGTTTTTGATGCATACTAGACAAATTAGCCAGTTTCTTCAAAATAGTTTCCATTGAAAACTTTTGCTGTCACTAGTTCTCTTTAAAATCCTGTTTGATTCTTCACATTTCACTGTCCAGGCCATATAGACTTGAGATCCCTTGACATCTGCAGCAGCAAGGTCATCAAAGTCACACTAAAACACTTGTAAACAGAGCATCATAGTTTTCGCACCAACAGACCAGGTAAATCAAGCAAAATAGGTTTTAAACTTCAAAATACTTCACAATATTATTCCCTGTTATATATCCCAACCGAGATCCTCGAGAAAAAAAGCACCCAAAGAACCAAAACCTTTAATTTCTGCAATAAAATGTCTCGAACTGTTCAACCGACCATGTGATGATTTTCAGAAAACATTTAGCGATCGATTATTTCGTCTTTATTCAACTTAAATTGTACAAATATTCATCCAAAACCTTCACACCAGTTAGTTCTTCCCCAAAAAAGGTGGTTCAACGGGATCGGAAACAGTAGGCAGGCGTAAAATGCGAAAAACATGGTTTTTCCCTATCTCGCTCTATGATTTTTGACCGGTTGAGCCGCCATTTTGAATGCTCATGTTGGCGCGTGGCGTGCATAGTGGCGTGCATTATAGAATACATTGCAGTCAGCAATCTAGTTCTCCTATATCTATGGTAAAAACACAGGGATATTTTAGGATTTTTTAGGATATTTGCGATATTTTTAGTCTTGATAAAAATTTGCGGGGTTAAAGGTCAAAATACCGGAAGTGCTCAGCAAAAACTGCAAAATATAGTTTAAAATCACAATTTTTGGCTGAATAATACTTGAATTGGAGATTTAAAGTAAAATGCGAAGTCGTTTTACTTATGTTAGGCAATGTTAGGCATATAAAACGGACTTAGCCGCTGACTACAAAAGCGGGAGCAAAATGTCCCATATTTCTGGTAATGAAGAAGTTCTACAGGTTGTAAATCATTTGGTTATAGACTTGCTTTGTAAATGATTGCCACTTGACAGCATGATGTGTAAGGCTATATAACTAAGCCAAACCTGAAATAATTTTTGCATCAAGGTAGCAGTTAATGAAACATTTGTGTCTGGATAAAAAGAAGTGGTGAATTTAAATACAGATGTTTCCTTGTCTGTTGCTATATGAAACAATGTCAATGTTGTTTAAAGCAATAAGAGTCATTGTGGATCAATACAAGGCTCACTTGCTAAAAATATACAAGCATTGATTCCATTTCCAAACTATTATTCTATTGACAATTATCTATAAAAGGAGATACAGTAGGATTGAAATAGTTAATTTCTGTATCAAGCCTCCTGGGTGTTATATTTTCCCAAGCATCAATGAGGGGGCACTTGTTTCTAAATATAGGCAATAAGTCTGGTTACCATTAAAAGTTACCCTTGTACTATATTTTATTAAAATACTGCAAAAATGCAATATTATAATAATTCATGATTTTAAGAATTAATTGAATGGGGGCTGTATGGTTAAAAAAGGGGGGGGGCTTAATTATTTTTTATTTTTGCATCCAAAAAGAGGGGGGTATTGGAGAGGGACGTAAAAGAGACGGGGGCCGGCTAAATATAGAAATTACAGTACCTCCATTCCTTCCTCTCCCTTCCCAAACATGCTGCAGGAGAGGGGGCAACTGCATGGGTTAAAGGAGGGATTGCAAGGTTGATGTATTGCATGTTATATATACCTGGTAATATGGAGTTATGAGCCAGTAAATATATCCTTGCCTATAATTAGTTGCTGATTAAATGTTCAAAGATACACAGTGTGAAGCATGAAAAACAAATGGGAGATATCCACTGCAACAAACTTTCAACAAATATATATGGCCTTGTTCACTTCATTTCTTACTTTCGACACAAGTAATTATAATTACAAACACAATTAATGTAGTGTTATTTATTAAAGACTTTATATCACGTTGGTCAAATTTAGAAAAATGGACGTAATGTTGCTACATCGCTTACTCGTTAATTATCTTTTTTACTAAAATGTACATAATTGAAATATGACAAAAATTTATGGCAAGTTCATGGCAAAGTTATAAAGGTAGATGTTCGATTATTTTTCATATTAGCTGCGCGCATTGCATTTTGGGTATTTGTGCATTGCATTTTGGGTCTATCTGTAGATTAAAATTGAGAATTATGCCAGTTACATGAATTAAATTTGCTGCCTTGCTCGCTCCCTAGCAATAATCGTTACATGTCAAATTTTTCTCTACTATAATACCACTATAATAAATAACTGGATCCCTCCTTCTGAACCAGTATTTTTAGGTGCCCCTCCTTTTTCTGTCAAAAATACCTCATGACCCACCCCCTTTTTTGCCAGCCCACCCCCAGTCATAAATAATGAATGGTCCCTAAGCTCTGGGCTTATATTCTTTTGTAAGAGATTTTTGAAGGGCTTATACATAGGGGGGCTCATACCAGGTGATCTCGTGTTCGTATTTTAGCCAATCAGCGCTCATAAAGGGTTGTCCGAATAGAAATCCATTTTGATGTATGCAGTCAATTATATCTTTCGTTATTCTTTATGAAACTAGTTGAAATTTTGTAATTATGTTTGGTTATGAGAACTATAGCTCTGACAAAAATATGGAATCGAAATAAAGTATATTACAGGAGATATTCAGTTGTTTTAATCATAAAATGGATTTCTATTTGACAACTAGTGCCAGTACTTTTCCGCGTATCAAGATCATCTGGTATACGGGGGCCTTATACATGGACAATCTTTTGTGTTAGTACTAAACAAGTCAGTCATAAACAGGAAAATAAACATGTCTTAATAACACGCTTTGATTAACATAGTAAGCTATAAAGAGAATGACAATGTTTTTAAATCAGTATCGTTCTCTGCTATATTAAAAGACAATATCAATGTTGAATAACATAGTGGGCTACTGGGCTTATATTCGGGGGCGGGGGGGGGGGCTTATATTTGGAATGAGATGAGCGTTATATTCAAAGAATCAGAGGTTTACAGTATACAGTTGAAAAAAGCTTGTATTTCTTGTCATAGACACACATTTCTGGGTGCATATATAGAACAGCTTATACCGGTTGGGTTCTCGTACTGCTTGGTAAGTTGATCCAATGGTAATTTGATATCACTGCCATCATCATAGTATAGTGTAGCACAGAATCGCCTTGTATCATGCATGCAGAAATGCCTTGGTCATTCAGTTTAACCACTTGATCTTGCATCAGTCAGTGCATTTAGTGGAGGTATGAGTATATGACTATCACAATAGAATTAGTTACACCAAGTAACATGTCGTGCACGTCAGGTATCAGCTGAAATATTTTAATATTTGCCATAATAAGCCAATAATAAGCCCATGCCCTCTTGGCAAAACGACCAAAACTTCTTCACCACTTTACCGAATGGCCGAGATATAATGTCTCATCTTTTAACGAAAATTCAAGCCCTCTTTTCGCTAGAGCAGCTTTAATAGCTCTTTCAATATTTACCATTGAATATAGTTTAATAGTAACGCGATTTAAAACACCTTTAACGGTTTAAACAACTATTTTGTATACTATATTCTGATGAGAATCTGTTCAAACAAACATATCGATTGTGAGCGTGTGCCCGCACGAATTTAGTATACTAAGCGGAATATAATAAGCAAGAGCAATAAAAGCGCATGCGCCATTTGTCTCATTTGGGATAAAATAGATTCGATTTCCCCAGAGTCATGCCCATAGAATAAAGATCCATATAGATGGCCACTTACGTCGGAACCTTTGAAGTTTCTGTCCTCGCGCATGTCGCATTACGCATGTTGGCCGCCATTTTCCTAGCCAGTCAATGACATTTTCTGGCCAATAAACACGCTGTACTGGCTGACTGCTCCGTCTATTGACCGGTAAACTGCATATTTTTGCATAACAAAACGAGGACACGTTGCACGGCTGAATGACCCTTCTGTTACTGATCTTTATTCTGTGGTCATGCCACTACATAACCCGCGAACAGGCATACACTGGGAACGAGATTGCTCGAAGGGCGGAGTGTTTTCACACAATTTCGAGTTTTCCCAATTTCCACGAGTGTTGATATAACTGTATATCAAAAGGGAAAAATTATTTTATATTTGTTTTATAATATAGCACAAAGAAATATAAAGAAAGGCATTTTCCGACGTTTCCGTGTTGTGACCTTCGGAGTTATATCAACACGGCTCTTAGCCAATCAGCGTTCAGAATTTACAAATGCTATTTTATAAAGTTATAATATCAAACACTTCGTTAGCGGTTTGACGTTTGCCGTAAACGTCAAGCTAAAGGTCTCTAATATGCTAAATTCGTGGCACCTAACCCTTAACACTAACTCCTAACCCTAACCCTTAACCCTATCGAACTTTTTAAACTTTTTTTTACATTTGTTAACTTTTTTAAATTAAACTTTTTTTTGAAGATTTCACCACCCAGGCGAGATGCTAATGCTTGTGGGGTTTTTATTTATTCTATTAATAATTTTCAAATCTCATATAGTTTATAATATTCAAAATACAGGGTGTCCCAAAAAACCCCGAAAACTATTGAAATCACGTATTGTTAAAATTGAATGCCCTACCAAAAAGCTGAACGTAATGATGCGTAAAATATTGACAAGGTGCATGTATTAAAATTCAGTTAAGGACTATCTCCTTGTAAAGTGCACGATTTTCTCAGTGCTCTTGGGAATTTAAAGCAGCTTCTTAAATAGTTTCTTTATGCATACAATTTACTTATGGCAATCATTTATGCACTCGTGCGAACCAACAGAGTGCTAAGGCATTCAAATTCTAACAATTAAATTGTTATTGGTGATTTCAATATTTGGCCACCCTGTATATCAGTAATATCACCGCTATATTTTAAACTTGTTAATCTAAATAAACTAAGCCCAACTAATACGAAATCGGATGTATATTTACCAGTATTTTGGGCCGGCAATCACACTCGATATAATACATTTTTGAAGGAAATTTGTAGACGGAAACTTCGAGTGGTATTTTTATACATTCCACTTGAAATTTGCATACTATACAAATCCTTCCAAAAATTATATATTTACCAGCTGTACTATAATATTTACTTTAGTCTTTACCTCCAGAGCGAGTATACCATCGATTTCAAAATGTATCTGCTATATAATTATGTACGCTTTGCTCAGTATTTATTTAGTTACTTACTGATAAAGACCGACGAGCATTAGCATGCATTGATTTTATAGACTATACAGCGTGTAGTGATTATAGACATAGTTCGGTTCTGTCTGAAGTAGATAGAAAGATTCAAAACTATTTAATGTCTCGTGCTGCCAGCCGCTCGATGAAGACTTTCGCTTACTGAAATCTAGCTGGCTTTAATCTTCGGACAATTCAGACTCAGTTCTGTGACTCATGTGGCTTAAAACAAAATGAAGCAATTAAATAATATCAAACATACCTTTATTCCTTTAATGCTTTATTATTGCATTTATTACTGCAGATGAATTAATATGTAATGTCGTCGTTGACTTGATTTATGCTCAATATAGGATGACCAAGCCAGAATATAGCAAAATAATTATATACTTTAGTAAAATCACCGTTTATTGATCCTATATAATTGCGAAAATTTGGCTGCATATTGAGTATTGAAAATGGCTACGTGTCAGGGACCTCATGTTGAGTAGGAGGACGATTTCCTCCTCATTTTCATAAAATTAACTAATTACTGACTTTTGTCTAGAAGATACGATACGCGTTATACACTGATTTTTATCTGCTGCATCAGCCGAGACACTTTGAAAATTCGTGTATGGCCAATGCAACGTCAACGTCAATGAAGACGTTGTAATCAACATTAATCAACATTCAAAAACTCAATAATAATAATTCAGGAGGAAAACACAAAGAAAAATCATAAGCGTGTCGTGGTTTTATATGTGATTAATGTCCTCACCGTTTAATAAATATATATATATTGAAATATTTAATATAACGACACGCATAAGAACACAAGGTTTGTGGGGTTATGGAAGTGTGGGACAACTGCTCTATATATTGTATTTTTTATCTGCGAAGAGCTGGGTGCTGAGCGGTTCCCAGGGCATATACTCGTATTGAAAAGCTGGATCTTGGGGAAGTCGATTAGGACATATACTGATTTGCAGCTGGGTCCTAATCTGCCCAAGACATATACTTTTACGGATTTAGAGCTGGGTCCTGAGTCGGCTAAACATATACTCCATTTAGAGCTGGATCCTAGCCTGCCCTGCAAGACATATACTCTGAGCTGGGCCCTGGGAAAAAATGATCAGGGAAATATTTCTTAGAACACTGATCTGGCGCAGCACATATACTCATATGCAGAAATAGAGTGATTTTTGTAAATGGGAATTGGCTGTATGCCAGGTTGCCAAATTCCGTAAAGAAAACGTGAGGTCTATGGCTACGGCACTGATAAGATTGCATAACTCAAAATGATTCGAGCAAAACCGGTCATTTGTTAAAAGGAAGAATGGTTAATAGAAATTGGTCCTTTTGAGTGACGTAATCGTGTATCGTCATCAATCCGTGTCGTTGAACAG